AAAATATTGTCTGATGTTGAACACTTAGACAACTTGGACGGTATAAAAATTATATTTTAATTTGCAAACAATACTTACTAATAACAACAATTTAAAATTTTATTTCTTTTAACGAATGTTCTTCGATCTCGCGGAGAACGACAACACTACGTTTATTTCCCCTACAGCTATAACACCGAAAATACAAAATTACAAAAATTGTCGGCGAGTTTCGCCAATAAGTTAGTATTGTTTAGATTATGTCAACGTGGTTGGCGAAACGCGTCGAAATTTATTGTAATTTTCTGTTTTCGGTGTTATAGCAGAAATAAACGTAGATACAGCACCAAGTATTAATACAAGTCACAAATCATTGTCTACAGTATCAAGCGAGATTTTCTGAATACAATTTTTTGATGTCATCAGGCATTCCTAGGGGGATAGTACATCACTTTTAATACATACACTACAACACTATAAGAACAATACTAGTTAGTATTGTTCTTATAGTGTATAGTATTCATTAATTTTTTTGGATAGATAATTCTAAAAAATATTAAATTCTTTATTTTCCACGTCCTAGATGGGGTTTACTTAACAGTTACATTAAAAATAGTGTCATAAAAATGTTATTAATGTTTATATTTTTCATTCGTATGCGTCAAAAACTGAAATTGGTCTAAAAAGTTTAGACAGTACTTCCCTCGTTGTCGGAAACACGACGACTGCCTGCCTATTATGTTTTTTTTTCTCATTACATTTTTGTAGCGGTGCAATTTAAAAAAAAAATTGCGATGACGTCATCAACATTTTTGCAAGGACGTATATCAGTTTTGATAGATGTAGTGTAATACTAAAAATAAAAGTACTGTATTCCCAAATTTTCGGGAAAATGAATTGGGTCGTCTTGAATATTGATTTATATTCAATAAAATAACAAAACTCTCTCTGCTCTGCTAATCACGTATGCCGCGTGTATTAGCAGAGGCGACTCAAAATCATTTATGTATAAGCATTCTTAATTTAAGACAACAAGCGGTAACAATTGTGAGAGTCAAACAGAGAAACTGCAAACAATACCGATGGTCGACCAGACTTTTTTATTGCTTCGACTTCCGCTTATTATATAAAACATTGGATTTTATTTTAATTTTTGATGGTGTAATTCACAATTGGGTGATTATAACTTGTCTATACCACATTCACGCAACCTAGTCAGCGCAACAAAACAAATGCATGTCTGTAAAATGTTAAAGTAAATGTAAATAAGCGTGCTACGCCTATGTTTCAAACGAGTTTTTACTTTAAAATTTTTTGTGTCTATCAAATTGGGTTTGTAATACTAATAATAACAGTGTTGTATTTCTAAATTTTCGGGAAAATGGAGTAAACTATTCCTGATTTAATCAACAAAATAAATCGACTCATTCATTTTTTTTTTGAGCGACCTGATAAACAAATCTAAAAAATATGAATGGAATGTTAAAGTACACACTGATCATATTTTGTACATTTTAGATGGGAAAATTTTGGGGTGACGTCATAAATTTTTTAGGGGAGATGAGCAAATACATTTTGATTAAAAATTTACCATGCTTATGATAACTGTAAAACATCTCCAAGATTTCAAAGCATTCGGTTTTGTAGTTCCTGATTAAATAAATAAAATAAATTCACGCATTCCATTCATATTTTGGAATGATAAATCACAAGTGTTGTTTCATCATAATTTGAACATTTAAGATATGATTTATTCAGCAAAATTTTGAAGTGACGTCATCAATTTTTTGGGGGAAATGAGGAAATATATTTAGACTAAGAATTTACCATGCCTATGATAACTGTAAAACATCTCAAAGATTTCAAAGCAGTCGGTTTTGTAGGTCCTGATTAAATCAATTAAATAAATTCACCCAATCATTATTTTTTTTAATCATCCTGTATATGTAAATCCAAAAAATATTAATGGAGTGATAAATCACAAGCACAGACTCATCATATTTTGTACATTTTAGATAGGATTTATTCGGGAAACTTTTGAGGTGACATCATCAATTTTTTGGAGGGGACAAGTAAATATATTTGGAATAAAAATTTTACATGTTTATCCTTACTGTAAATCATCTGCAAGATTACAAAGCATTGGGTTCTGCAGATTCCAAATTAAATTGCAAAATGTTTCATGATTTTGACTTTTTTCAAAAAATCTGGACGTTTCGGATAAAAACTCAATTCGGAGTCATAAACTACATATGTAGGACTATGTTATTTTATACAAGTTAAAACCCATTTACTATGTACAATTTTGAAGTGACGTCATCACATTATTCGTGGGGATGACTAGGCAAATTTTGGTTAGCGTTTTCTCATCTACATGATATTCCTAATACATATAGATACAAAATTTCACAACAATCGGTCCAGTACTTTCGGACATTATCTGTCTAATAAAAATCCGGGACGGCAGATAGACGGACAGGCAGACGGAAACGAGACCTAGAAAAGTAAAAAACAGAATATCTTCATTTTGATAAGTTTTGAAAAGTATTAAAATATCCTGTAATCTTTGTTCTCCCTATAAATCAAAACTTATGTTGTTTACAATAGGTCTACTGATGTTATAATTAAAAAAAATACACTATGAAAATTTTGGAAACTTTTCAGAAACAGTCATATAACGAATACATAAATGTAATTGGTACAATTACTTGATTAATTTATTTTATTTTCCAAGTGCTTAGCTAAGGAAGTACTGTAATCCCAGTCCATCGAGCGATTGGCTACTTTCATATTTTCTCGATGTGTTACGACCCCTAGAGCTCGAAAATATAAGTGTCGCCTTCACACCTGTCTGTCTCAACGGCGTCTATTTCATTTTTTGTTAAAGTTGATAATCTTCGAAACTACCGGACCGATTGTCAAATTTTATCTGTGTATTGTGAATATTATGTAGATGGTAAAACGCCAACCAAACTTTGTCTAAACATTCCCACCAACAATGTGATCACGTCACCTCAAAACTGCAGAGTAAATGGTTTTAAATTGTATAAAATAACATAGTCCTACAATTCCTAGTTCATCACTCCGTGGTTAGCTTTTACTCGAGACATCCAAATTTTTGTAAAAAAGTTGTACATACGGTTCAACTTAATTTTCAACCTGCAAAACCGAAGGCTTTGAAATTCTCCAAACGTTTTAAGGTTATCATAAGCATGGCAAATTTTGATCAAAATATATTTTTTTATCCCCCCAAAAAGATTGATGATGTCATCTCAAAATTTTGACGAAAAAAATCGTATCGAAAATGTGCAAAATTCTTCTGATTCATCACCGTATTCAAATTTTTTACAACTGATTATACAGGTGTTTCAAAAAAATGTATGAACGAGTCAATTTATTTCACGGTAATTTCCCCAAAATTTGGAAACACAATCCGCAAGCACTTGCTGATAATATAGAAAGTTGCTAAAAAGGTTATATATATGTGCAAGTAAAAATAATTAAGTACACTAGTATTTTTGACTAATAATCTTAAAGGATCATTTGTTTGCTAACGGGAAGTCCATTACCTGTACTATTCTATTGTTTTTTGCACACTTATATGGATCAGCACATTTTTGACTCAACAGGTAAGAATTATAAAAAAAAGACTATTTGGCTTTGAGAAGACTAGCAGCTATAACCTCCAAACAATTGTGACATTTAATAGCCAAGTATAAGCAAAGAATAAATAGGGCACAATATTTTGGCGAAATTCTTCTGATGTCTTCAAAGTAATTTATTTTATAACAAAAATGCAACACAGTTTATAGTTGGAACGATAAGGCCCTGAAACAAAATTTTGTGCAGAAAAACGTGTTGTAATAAAACATATTTAAATAAACCTGCTTCCAATACAACATTTTAATAACAATAGCCTTCCAAAGTGTGTCGTTATGACATACTCAATTCAATACTCTAGTTCGAAAAATGAAGTGAAGTGTCTTAAAATATGTGATGCTGTGGCTTTTATGTACTCGGTTGACAAATAGAAATGATCATAGATAAAGTAAATCCAAATAGGACTTCATACCGAGCACGAGATGCAGAAATGAGTGAAAGACATGTTAACAATATCTAATTGTACATATTTAAGTCTAAACTGCATGAACGAAACAGATAAATAAACAAATTGAGAGGTAGGTACCTAACAGTATCAAATATGCTTTAAATAACAATACAATAACAAAAACATCCTCACTGAATCCTGATCAACTTTCACAAATATGTTATCACTTTTCTTTCGCAACGCATTTCCGAGAACCTTTTCGTACTCTCAACTGTACGTAAACACAACTACTATCTTTATAGATACACGAGACAGAACCGCAAATCCCTAAATAAGACACCCAAAAAATCCAAAACAAAATCGGCTCCCAAGCACACTTCTGCGGGAAAACTCCAACCGCAATTTCCCAGTCTTCCCTCACCGAAAAATCGGAAGTTTTCGGCCGATTCCTGTAAACCTGCAGCGGTTACGTGACCAGCTCCTGCTGTCATCGCGTCAGCGTAGTTTACGCCACAATATTGTCGGATTTTTTTTTTCAGACGCACTCCTATATATACACAAAATTGTAAAAGCGCGAGCACTTTAGTTTTGATCGTCTCTAGTTCGCGATCGTTTTTCTCACGACTGTTTGTTATCGCGACCTTGAATAACTGTGTGAAACGAAGAACATAAATAAACGAAACGATGGACGTGCACAAGAAAAACAAGAAGAACGTGGCTATTTGCACGAAAAATTTTGCAAATCGGGAGAAGGACGTGTACGACACCTTGCATTGTAAAGGGCCAAAAGAGGTATTTTTTATAATAGGATTTTCGTAGTTTGTTTTCTCCGGTGGTTTGCGTAGATGGAATGTGGAATTTTTGTGGGGAATTAAATCTGAAATTTATTGCAGGATGTAAAGCCGTTTTGGTAAATAGGGGTCTTAAGTAAAATATTTCTGGCATTTTGGGGCACTTACGCTACATTGTGGCCATTTTTACGGGCCGTTAGTGCTGACCACTATATAGATTTTTTAATAAAATGGGAAGAGCGTCTCGATTCCCGTTATTAAAAAAATATTGTCCTTTCGAGCTGAATGATGCTCGGAGCGCAAACAGGGAAAGGTAATAAATAAAAATTATAACTTACTCTCGAGTTTGGAGGAAATAAGGGAATTGGGGAGCTTATTTACTCATTACTAAGTAATTACTGTTTATTATTTAAAAAGGGAAGAAATTGAAGTGGAGATTGCTTACTTAATGTTCTGGCTTATTATACAGCGAAGGGTTTTGCAGCAATTATTTTAAACTCATTTCTGAGCACTTCTGTATGCAGATCTTAATAAGTTTCAAAGTTGTCACACGCTAATTATTACCTATTGTTAAACAATGTTGTCTCTCAACTACCAAATAGTGTGCACCTAGAAAATAATTATTTGTGGCAAACTCAAAAAATTTCAAAACTAAACTAATTGTGCAGTTTTATTCGACCATCTGAAATGGTGCCAACTTACCTTTCTTAACCTTTCCCCATACATTTTATTTCATCCATCTTATAATGAATGAAATTCCGTTATTTCGCCGCCCCCTTACCCCACACACCTCGCAAAACAAATTCAATCTGTCCCAGGCAATAAATAAAAATTAATAACCCCACTTAAATTGCCGTAAAACCCCTCCAAATTAGTAGGATCGTTAAACTTGATTAAATCCAATTATAACAAGCGTTCCTCTCCGAATAAGTTTTATTTGATTTAAATCCTTTGCCGTACGACGTGATCGTACAGTATGACGTGGTCGTAAATATCCGATTCGATTCTTTTCCTCGTAGTGTTCGCGCCTGGCTCCTGCGAAGGATCGACGCAAATTATCCTTCGGTCGTAACGGTTCTGAAAGACCAGGCCCTTGACAGGATCGACGCAAACCTGAAACACGATCGTTCCGAAAATGAAAAACGCCATCGATTAATTAATTGGTGCGGGATTAACAGGGACGGATTAAGCCGGGAGGGAGATCAGCGATATGTCAAGTTCGTATCGTCATAAATTTCAGCTCACATGTGGTGGCGGCGTGTCGCGGAAATGCGATATAATGGATAGAGCAGGCGGGTGGAAGCATTTTGCCGAAAATTCACTGAATTCTGACAGGTTTTGAAATGCGTCAAGGAAATTTTTGATATCTCAAAGTGCTATTACTTATAGAAGAATTTGTAACCAAACTTGGATTATAAAATTTTTTTTCTTCCATTGTCACTATAGAAAGACTGCTTTTTATACTCCACTAATTAAATGGAAAAAATTCTTTGATCTTCCACTTATGGTCACTTTTTTTAGATTTAAATTGTAAACCCGGTTCATATGAGCTAAATACTGAATTGGATCTGTAAAATTATTGATAAAAAGTAATGACAATTATAATAAATGCAAATTAAAGAAAATATAAACATTAAAAATAAGCAATTTTGTTTGTGTTTAGATAGTAGTTAATTAAACCAAGTGACGTCCACAACACAAAATAAATTCATTGTTTAATTTATTTACATTTATGTATTTTATAACATTTTCTCTTATTCACAACATATAGCATGTTCGATCTTTTTAATTAGTTAGAAACAAATAAAAAAACTGTTTGTACAGAACTGTAGAACGTTTGTCAAAAATTTTTGAAAAAAATACAAATTTTGGTAACACTTTTATTTGTAATTCAAGTAAATTATACTATTGTTCACATTTACGATTGTTCAGTTTTTCAGTTCTAATTTCCTGAAAATACTGCACCTTCTGTAATAATTTTTTAATAGCATTACAAAAAAGGTTTCACTGTGTTATAATACTTACTTACACAGCAGATAGTAGTTTTAAACAAATTTTAAGATTACTGTGGAAAAGTTGAATGTTGATGCAGGTGCATATCTACAAAATGCCGAGTTTTGGGAAAAGTTGAGTTGCGCAATTCTGCTGATATACTGATACAAGCGTTGATGCAGCTCATTTTTTTTATCCGAGGACAAGGCATTGCAGTGTGCAGTGTGTTTGTTGTTTTTTATAGACGATTACGTAACTTGTTTTTTATTTAATCGCACTTTCTAAAGGAAAAGTCTGAGCGCCATTTCCAAAGACTTGTATTGGTTGATGCCTTTTGTATCGTCACTGTTCTAATAAATTACAAAAATTAATGATTTTCAAAAGTTTAAATATGTACACGCCTAAAAAAATGTTTATAAAACTAACAATTGCACACTACAACTTAGCAGCAGTTATTTTCAACTAATACCACCAACAGGTTCTCCTTGGTTTGATATTTATTGGTAAATAAACAACAAAACTCAGACAGTACGACATTACCTAATTAATCTTGGTCTAAGTTGCAGTCATTGCATTTAAAATTAGTAGTAGTTAATTTTTAAGAGAAAGACACTTTGAAAAACATTAAACATAATCAAAATTTGATATCACAAAATCCACCCATCGAATGTGGTGCTTTAATTTAAAAGATTCATTGTTGCCACATCTTAGTGTGCAAAAGATCTATTAAGTTTCCGATTTCTAATTTCAAAACGCAGTGGCGTCTTTTTCAGATTTTTTTTTTGCAAAAAATATTAGCCGAACGTTTTGAAGTTTCGAATTTTAGATTTGTCATTTGTCCACACTTAAAACTGCAGCATACCTTCAATTCCCTTGTCGCACCACTGGATTAATTGCGACATTAGCTTACACAAATCTGACATAAGATTGACAAACTTGATAGCAAAAACAAGGTGTACCAACTCTCTCAATCGTGGTAACTACTTATAATATAGAGTGACTATTAATGTTTATGGTTTTTTGTCAGGTTGGCAACATATTTAAAATTTTATGATGGCATTCCCGCACGTAAAATTGAAATTTTGGGCGCATATTCAACAGCTGTCATCTTCTCATTGGTTTTTAAGCGCGCTCATGTCAACATTGACAACTATGAACTAACATGTTAACGCTACTGCAAATATGACATTATGGTTTTAGGGCAATTCCACGAAAATGTCAACCTCAGAAAATTTTTTTGAAAATTGTTAAATTAATCTAAATCTTACAATTAGTACTTCTAAAAATTTTAAATTTAACTGGCATATATTCGCTTTTACAATATCATAACACCCGCAGTAAAAATTTCTTGTTATTGCGGTATAATAAAATTGTTCAACGAAATGATATTATATCTTCTTTAACATTGCTAGAAACAAAGTAAATATCTTTATTTACTTACAATAAAAAGCACGGTCGTAAAGAGTGCACCTTTATTGACAATAATGTACAATCAATACTTATCCCAACATCATCTTTACAAAAATATTACACTTCTTTCTTCTGATATATGTGATAATTGGTGTAAGAACGATAAGTGACTAATTTTCATGTTATTCGGCAATATTAAAAATAATTGCAAATCAGGTTAGATTATCTCTTTTTCTCGTTCTCGCTCTCTATTTTCATTGTAGTTTTATTGAAATTGGCTTGTGATTATTATTAAAAATCGCAGCATTACTTAGGCGAAACGGGATAATTTTCTTTCGGTGGCTTAGCTTTGAAATTAAATAATTAGTCTTGACAGCCGTCAATCTACCAATTATTTGATTTTGCTGTGTTAATCAAAATGTCTTTAACATCTACTGAAAGAGTAAGAAAACACCGACAAAAATTAAAGAGACTCAGAATACCTACAACTGCAAACATAAGCTGCACAAAGAAAAAAGACATTGCGTTATAAAAAAGTTACAATACCATGAAAATAAAAGGAGAAGAGCGAAAAAAGCCAAAATGAAAACAAACAAAAATGGAAATTTCAAATGTCATCAAGTAAATAAATTGTAAATTCGGTAAGTTTGAATATTTTTTCTTTTAGCATTTAATCCTTTTACTTTGACGTTACATACATTTGTTTACAAGTTATAGAGGTTCTCATAAAAAAATAAAATTTGCAAAATCAAATTTTATAATTTTCGCTGGAAATGTTTCATTGTACTTGCTAATAGAAGTCTTACTTTTGCCAATCACATATCCTCTGAGAAAATAGGTGGCGGGTGGGCGCGGCTAGTATTTGGTAAGAAAATACTGATTTTGGCAAATGACATATTCTCTGAGAAAATAGGGGGCGGGTGGACGGGGCTAGTACTTGGTATGATAAGACTGACTTTGGCAAATGACTTATCCTCTGGGAAAATATGGGGCGGGTGGGCGGTCCTAGTATTTGTTAAGATAAAACTGCTTTGACGCCTATTAATCTTGTAAAAACTTGCGAAATTTAAAGGTGTTAAAATTGCAAATTTCTATAGTAACGTGTTAAATTTTTAAATCTACCCGAAATGTGCAAAATATAATGAGTTTTTACTTGTGGTTTATCATTGCATTCATATTTTTTAAATTTGCTTAAACAGAGTGACTCAAAAAAATTAATGACTGAATTGTTAAAAAATATATATCCAATCAGATTTAGGTATTGAATTCGTTACTATGGAAATATACAATTTAACACCTTTTAAATTTAACAAGCTTTTACATGTTTAATAGGAGCAAAATCAGTCTTATCCTAGCAAGTGCTAACCCCGCCCACCCGCCCTCTATTTTCTCACATTTTATGTCATTTGCCAAAATCAGTCTTATCTTATCAAGTACTAGCCCCGCCCACCCGTCCTCTATTTTCACAGATGATATGTCATTTGCCAAAATAAGACTTATTGTAGCAAGTACTGGTAAGTAGTATCCTCTGAATAAATAGAGGGCGGGTGGGCGGGGCTAGTACTTGGTAAGATAAGACTGATTTTGGCAAATGACATATCCCGTAAAAAAATAGGGGTGGGTGGGTGGGGCTAGTACTTTGTAAGATAAGGCTGATTTTGGCAAATGACATATCCTCTGCGAAAATAGCAGGCGGGTGGGCGGGGCCCGTATTTGTTAAGATAAAACTGATTGTTGCCCTATTAATCTTGTAAAAACTAGTGACATTTAATTGTTTTCAAAAATTAAATACGAAGGATTTCCAAGTTTCTTTCAAATTCCTTCAAAAATAAAACACCGTGGGTCCCAATGGGCGAGATAAATTCAGTCGAAAGAACCTTCGACCAACTTTTTCTTTTGTTTAAAACACGAATTTGCAATTTTTCTTACTTCCATGGCAGCAAATATTCACAAGTTCGTGTAAGAAACAATGACATCGTGTAAGTAACGATCACATCGTGTAAGTAACGCAATTTTTTCTCTTTTCAGACATAATCAAAATTAAACTTCTTCTCGGTTTTTGAAAACCCGAAAATTAAATTTTTTATCAATATAACTGTTTTTGTATGATAATTCACAATTCCATAGAAAATGGAGAAAATGTATCAATTCGAGAGAAGGCAGGTTCAAAGATTTCGCGTCAGTAACGCAGACTTTTAATAAAATTTTGACTAAGTTAAACATGACTTTAGTAAGATCAAATTATTAAGAAAAAAGAAAACAAATCTCTACGATTAGGTTAAAAAATGAAAGTGTAAAAGCACTTATGAGGACAGTTTAAAATAAAAAAACTTTGCAGAGTCCCGTACGATTTTAGCCTAAGTAACGGTGGAATTGCCCTTTAACCAAAGTTTTACCACATTGAATTGTGGATAAATCACGTCTGTGCATAGCTCATGATATGCAAATCTCCTGAAAATTTTGACACAAATAACGTTTCTTTGTCTGCGACTTTAGTACTGGAATAAAGTAGACATCCAGAAAACATGAAAAAGGTTAAAAACCCAGACTCCCATAAAGCACGAAAAACCCTTCAAATTATTTCAAAAAGTATTTAATACAAGACGTTGGGGGCCTTTTCTTGAAAATTTATACACGACTTTCACATTTCTTACATCGACTGATCCATTTAATATCACAATTTCCTATTTCTTAATAATGGTAGACATTTTGAAAGTTTTTTAAGGATAACACTTGATCTGTCAAAAATTATGACATCTAAGCTTTCGTTGCTAAGCAAATTTGCAAATAAATTTTGATTCTTAATTAATTTCATTAATTCAAATGAGGACGTAATTGATTATTTTCTTTGCAAATCTATGGTAAAATATTTCCAGACAATTTTTTCTCATGGCAATGTAAATCCAAAAACTCTAGAACTTAAGAAAATTAAATTTGGGCAACACATACCCAAATGCTAAAGATTTAGAAATCTGTGCCACTGCATTGATAACAGTTAACTTGAGGAAAATATAATCCTTCAATCTTTTCAATTCTAGGATCAACTTAAGTAATTCTAAACTATAATTCCTGATGTGCAAGTCATTCTTTAAATCCCTGCCAACATCCTATTCACTCTGATCTATTGGTAGGCTACAATTGTTATTTGTCGATGGTTGAGATACCATTTATTTCATTACCTAAAATTCTCACATAATCATTTTTAATTAAAAATATTATAATTCATATGACCTCATTTTCGTTCATTTTACTTAACAAAACATGCGACCTGTACAAATTTGGCAATAAATTATTATTAAACTCATTCAGAGGTTAAAATGTAAATAAACTGTACTTAACTGCTATAACTCATGACCAGAGTCTTGCATTACAACATTCTTCATTCAAAAATTATAAACTGACAAAAAATTGATACACTCAAGAGAGAAAATTGAAGCCAACAAAATATCCACTTCAATGGGGTCAAACATGGATACAATATCTTGCGTGTGCCACCCACCGTCCCGTGAAATGTAATCTTCAGGGTGGAATAGTGGACCTCTTTGTTAATAAATTGTGTTCGTGCCCCAACTGAAGGGGATATTTTGTTCTTACCTGCATAATTGTGCATTAATGATTTGGTTAGGAGTTAGTTGTTAGAAACCACACAAACAGTTCACAAACACAACAAAATAAAGCCCAAAAAGTCCTTAAAACTTAAAATTCGGGACACAAAAAATGCTGATCTGCATTAATTAACATTACAATTGAAAGAGAAAATGGCGACAGTTAAAATCTCGGACCCTCTTCAAACGAACTAGCCACTTCACACTTGAAAATAAAAATACGCGGAAAACTCGCTTTTAACGAAAAAAATACACCATGACGTGCTTTAAAAAAAGCAGAATCTATTAAAAAACACTATTTTAAGGGGATTCCCCTTTAACAAGCACGGTTTTTAAAAATAAATCTCGCATGTGCAGTGGGTCCGAGATTATAAAATCGACCAATCGCGTCCAAGGTGCAATCGACAGGTGGGGAATTGGATGCAGTGGCTACAATAACGACACCGGTAAAAATGCATTTTTTTATTGTCATTTTACGTCAAAGGATGGTAAGATTGCTTCACACTGTTTAACAACTTTAGAAACATTACTCCAATCTGACATTTTTCAGTTTAGTGTAGAAAAAACTGGAAGAGAGCTTTATTTCCTCATTTTGGTAAAACCCGACGAAGTTCAAACCTCGATTTTTGCACCACTCGGAGAACACACGTCTGTTCGTGCTTTTTCTTTCCGTGTCGTGACGTTGGCAGCAATGTGTAATGTTTCTATTAGTTGAGGAAATTTCAGCTGCTGCACGCCAACAGTAAATATAGCCGGCGCCATTCATTTTCCACGGACTATCGTTTCAACAAACAAACGGCAAAGGATTCTTTTTAATTTCGTCCTGTTTTGTATGCGATTTTCTGGATGCGTATTCGTTCTTTTCTGAGAGCGCGTTTCCGACTTGCCGGCTAAATGTTACTCCATTTCCGTAATTAAACAGGAGGTAATTTTCTGTTAACGTATTACGTATAACAGGAAAATACGATTTTTGTTATTGCATGAGTCTGATCGTTATTTTTCGTTTAAACGTTAGCAGGAATAGCCGAGCATTAGTTCCGCTGGTGTGCGAGAGTGAACGAGGGCCGCTGTTTTTTGGATGGTTACATTGCTGTGTTTTAGACTCTTGAGAGGTAATGAAAAATAATGGGTCTTTTGACATTGCGAAAAAAATTTAAACCAGTTACAAAAACGAAAACAATTTTATTATTATTGTTAATAAAATATAAATAAATAAATAAAATATGTAGCCGTATAAAGCACCAAATTACTTTTCATAAAATTTAAAATTGACATGTTTTTAGATTTTTTATTTAATTGTTAATTGTTGCAGCTAATTAATTTTATTTCCCTTCAGCAAATGTAGCACAAGAACATTTTCCATTTAGGATTTTTTGTTTTGATCTTCTTGTTGGTCACTTGAAGTCGGAAAATAATTTAAACCTGAGCTCCACGTGGAGGATTCGGTATCTATCAACTTTTTTTTTAAAGAAGTCTGTGAAAGGTCAAGTATTATATTGATTGGATACATAGGTACATTTTGCTTTGTAAAAATACACTCACACGTGACTAACATTTTCCATTTAAAACAATTATCTCTCGTTCGAGACAACAAATCGCATCTCATCCATTCCCGCCGAACAAATACAAACTGATAGACATTTCCTTGATGGACTTTATATGAATATTCATTCCCAACTTAATTAAAAACGGCTAGCATTTCCCTAAAAAAAGACAACTCCACAACCAATACGCCCTAATCTCCTATCAGGGGGCCACACACGCACTTCCACATCGACCACGTGCCTTATCTCGCCCCCATCAAAATTATTTATTCAGCGGGCGTACCCACGCACCCTGGAAATAAAACCCCTTCGATGATCCGATAATTATCTCAGGTGCTCCTGTAATAAATCTCCGAAAAGGAACCCAACCTGGGATACTTTTTACTTTTATCATATAACTTTAAGTTCAACCGAACTTGTTTAGATTTTGCGGCAAACGTTAAATCATTATCACATCTACGAACTCGACGTATATACGAAAAAGACCACAATTTCGGAATAGCTAAATTTAATAACTGACCAACGGCAATTATGAGAACCCTAAACCAACGTAATTAACAACATTACAAATCAGGGTTTTTGGCAATTCCATAATTATGAGTCACACTTTGAAATAACCGAGCTTCAGATTAGGCCCTATCTCATATCTTTGCCTGCCTCCACCCGGAGCTCATAATTCCTCCCGTATGGGAGGAAATTAGAAAGTTCGGGAATTCGGCGGGCTGATGTGGCACTTACCTTGTAATTAATCGAGTTGTTCGACATAGTTTTTCCCAATTTCCAATGATAATATCCCAAGTCGGTTGGTTGTGGCAGTACTTGTTGGCCGTCTGCGAAAATTAAACTCGTTAAAGTGTTTTCGGTATTGAAAGCCGCGTCAGCCGGAATTAATAAAGGGACGGCTACTTTCTGGACTAGGCGGAAGGGTTGAGAAGGGAGAGAGTTATTGGGGGGATTTTCTTCACTTGTCGAGTTTGAATGGGGGACTGGGAGGAGGAGGAGAAGACGGAGGCTGAGGAGCGTTTGTTTGGTGGAGGGAGAGATGCCGTTGGAGTTAATAGAATATTCAGTTTTTATTCTAATTTGCAGGATAATGCGTATCTGTGAGGGATACGACTGAAAACAATTAATTGTATGATTAATTATAATTACAAAGTGTCTGATGATTTTGAAAGCGTCGGCAGATGTGTAAAAGATTATTTAGGCTTTGTTAATTTTGGATCCTTCTATATGTATTTGTCTAAGAATAATGATTGTCTGAAGTAATTTATTTTTTTAAAAAAGGATCAAAAACTTTATACATATGTTACATGTTTCACACAGAAACATTCTTCATTAATACAAAACATGGAACTGGTTGATTCGTTAAGCGTAATACTTTCACAACTATTCCAATTAAACTTGCAATAATTTTCGAAAATTTTACTCTAAGTAGAAACAAAAATTTGTGGACCGTTTGAAAACAGTGTTTATTTAAACCAAAATTCTTTTAAAACATAGCACTGCAGATGAAGTAGAAGTGAAAAAATTTACATTTTCCCATAGAAATAAAACATCACTGATGTAGCGCCCAACAGTATGAAAAAAAATGCTTATTTTTTTTTGAAAATATTAAACTTCAAAGTTGAAGAATTATCTTCCTAATTCGGATTTGTTTTAATTAAATTCATGTCTACTAGACATTTAAGTAATTAGTTACTAATAATTTAAAAATAATTTGTTAGAATACGATCCATCACGTCATTTTTTATTGTTGGCACATGTCAATTTTGAAAACTTTTATCGGAATTTTGTCTGTCATTTAAATTCAAATTACTTAAAAACATACCAGAATTACAAAGTTAATTCTTCGACTTTGAAGTTTAATATTTTCAAAAATTGGGTTCAGAGATTTTTATTTAACCATATTTTTTCGAATTCTTCAGAGCCTTCTTAACAACGTACTATCTAGCTTATCTGTCATTTTTTAATCACTATCTATAGAAAAATAGAAAAATATAGAATTTCGATTCTCGTCTGTCAGTTGTTTGTTGTTTACCTGATTTATCTATTTGTAAAATTACCATAGTGAAATTTTTAATTTACGTTAATATTTTCCTGAAATTAGTAAAATGCTAACCAAATTTGTCTATTCAGTCCTGCCAAAAATTGTTGACGTCATCCAAAAATATTTTTCAAAAAATCTCACTTAGAACGTGAAACGTGATATGTTCATCTATTATGATTTAATACCCCGTATTTAAGGCGAAAATAAAAAAATAGGTTTGAATCATCCAATTTTAGAATAGCTAATTATTTATTCATCTTCTACAGAAAAGATGATGTCGTCTTAAAAAAAATAATTCTGTTACAAAATGGACCTTTAGATAAAGTGTGGCTTGGGTTTCAATAATAAATATTATTATATAAGTATATGTAAGGAACTTCATAATTCGTAAAAAATTACATCATAACCTGTTTAAAAATGTGAATTTATTTCAATAAGAAATATCATTATATAAGTATATGTAAAGAATTTCATAATTCGTAAAAAATTACATCATAACCTGTTTAAAAATTGTTGACTTGTTTATTACTCTACAATATGGTGACATCCTGTATATATCAAACTGTTTATGAAATACGCAATCCAGAATTGTTTTGTTTTTGTTTTATTTTGCATTGTTGATTCACCATACACTATAAACATTCCGAACAGATAAATGGCGTATATAAAATCCCAGTTTTTTTATTTTTATACTGAAGTTTACTAAACACAATGGGTTTGCACTCACTGTAATTTTAACCATTGATAGCTGTTTTTGCTGTGTTATCAAAAATTATTTGAAAATTTATATAAAAACATTTTATTTTTATAAAAACAATAACAATAGTAAAAATAGATTTTTATTCCACCATGAATGAAGGGCAAGGTCTAACTTTTACCGATACACACAATCCCTGGTTTACAGGCAGAACTTCTCTTGCGCCTGAAACACTATCCAACAACTCCATTTCCTTCAACAAATTATAAAATGTGATGTTGTGAAACTATATTTGTTATATGATAACCTGTATAACTTAAAAAAATATATAGATAATACCAGTCACAATGTAAGAAAAAAATGTCTATGACGATGGAGTTCAACGCTTCTGCGTCCTTATTCCTTGAACAAATCAAAAAATCCATGAACCATAACTGCATGAATATGTTATTTCATAAAGTTTAAATAGAATTGATTACGCAAAATGTTGGGGAGATGTCAATTTTAGTTGGTGTTTTGTTATCTACACGATTTTCTCTAACCCATATGTAAAATTTGACAACTGGTTCGGTAGTTTAGAGGATTATCTGTCTAATAAAAAACGACACAGACAGACGACACAGACAGACAGACAGACAGACAGACAGACAGAGAGAGAGAGAGAGAGAGAGAGAGAATGTCGAGAAAACATGAAGGTAGCCATTCACCGGATGCACGTTATTACTATTATGTATATATTATACAATACATCCTCTGTTTATTATTGGGAAGTAAGAATGCATATTAGACAAGATTTAAAGTATCAAGTTCAAGGAATAAATGTTTTAATTATTTTTTCTTTATCCTGTTTTTGATACATAAAATGTCACTTGAAATTGTCATTTTGACTGCGCTAAGTTAGGTTTTAGATTTGAACATGAATCGTGACTAAACGCTGCGATCTCTGTTGTTAAGTAGAAGTAATAGTTTAAAATACATATATTTATGATATTCATGATGTTAGAATTTTATTTTTTGTAGGGTAATAAATTTCAGAGTTTCGATAATTGCGGCTTTAATTTGAAGTCGTAGAAAAAACATAATATGTAACACATTTATAAACTTCTAAACTAAAGACACTCGTTTTTTAAACACTCGCTCCGCTAATGGTTGAATAAACTTGTGACTAAAAAGGCGTCTATAAAACTTGTTGCGTAATGGACTGTGTATTAGAAAAATGTTTTAAAATACGTATGGTATTACAACTATAACCATCAGTAGTCATTAATCGTTGTGCATTAATATTAAAAAAACAAGCTGTTACTTTTCAATAATAAATAAACCAAAAAAAAACATTTAATAAGACATTTATAAATTATAAACGAAAACAAAACCAACAAAAGAAAAAATTTCTGTCTTATGCATATAAGTAAGCTCGTAGTGTTTCCAAATTTGGATCATTTTTTGTAAAAATGAGTCATCGGTATTTGCTAAGATAAAACTGCTTTCGACAAATGACATCCTCTAAGAAAAATGAGGGTAGGTGGGCGGGGCTAGTAGCTGCTAAGATAAGACTGATTTTGGCAAATGAGACACCCTCTAAGAAAAGAGACGGCAGGTGGGCGGGGCTAGTACCTGCTAAGGTAACATTGATTTTGGCAAATGACATACCCTCTAAGAAAAGAGAGACTGGGTGGGTGGGGCTAGTAGGTGCTAAAATAAGACCAAATTTGGCAAAGCATACCCTCTAAGAAAAAAGATGGAGGGTGGGCAGGATTAGTACCTGCCATTATAAGATTGATTTTGGCAAATGAAATCCCTCTAAGAAAAGAGAAGGCGGGTGGGTGGGGATAGTAGCTGTTATAAAACTGATTTTCTGAGGGTTGTCATAATTCGCTAAACACTCGGGTAGAATAAAATCGACAATTTTCGATGCTTGATTACAGAAATTGATTACACAGTACCTTCTACAGGTAGAAACTGTGTTGTAGTATCACACAATAAAATATGTTCAACTCAGAAAGTACTTAGGATAAAAGTAAGGAGTTTAAACAAGTAATCGCCACATCCGTACAAACCATTATTTTTAACAAAAATAAATATTTAAATTTATCATGGGTAGATTTTAAATGGGAAGTGGTATTTTTTTATCAATCTGACTTATTGAGAAATCGAATAAACTGACGAATATTAACAACTCGAAAATAAAACACGACGAAACCTTGGAATGAAATATATAACAATTATCTTCTATTTATTTTTTATCTATTTCAATTTTGAGACTTTTAAATACTTCGACTTTTAAATTTTTCGATTTTTCGACTTTTCGTGTTTTTGATTTTTTACTTATTCCATTTTTCAAAACACTGCAACTTTATAAACCTTACATTTTTCTATTTTTCAGTTTTTTGATTTTTCGATTTGATTGCTCGATTTTTTAAATTTTCAATTATTCCAACATTTTTTAATTTTAGATTTTTTCTCGGCCTTTCGATTTTTTGCCTTCTCATTTTTAGATTTTTCGATTTTTCAATTTTTCTTAATTAATTTTTAAGTTTTTCGATATTTCGATTTTCCCTTTTTTCGATTTTTAGCTATTTCGATATCTCAATTTTTCGATTTTTCGACTTCTCGATTTATCGATCTTTTGATGTTGACGTTTTTTCAATTTTTCGATTTCGATTTCTCGATTTCCCAGTTTTTCGACATTTCAGTTTTAGGATTTATGTATGTATTTAAATTTTTCGATTTTTCAATTTTTGGCGATTCTAAATTTTTGGGTTTTTCGATTTCTCTGTTTACTTTTTGGGATTGTTCAATTTTGGGATTATTCAAGATTTCGATTTTTAAATTTTTTAATTTTTCGATTTTTCGTGTTTTTGATTTTTTATTTATTCCATTTTTCAGAATTGTGCAACTTTATAAATCTTACAATTTCCGATTTTTCAGTTTTTTGATTTTTTGATTTGATTGCTCGATTTTTAAAATTTTCAATTTTCCGAATTTTTAATTTTAGATTGTTTGCTCGGCCTTTCGATTTTTTTCCTTCTCATTTTTAGATTTTTCGATTTTTCAATTTTTCAGAATTAATTTTTCACCTTCGATAATTCAATTTTCCCTTTTTTCGATTTTAAGCTATTTCGATATCTCACTTTTTCCATTTTTCGACTTCTGGATTTATCGATCTTTTGATGTTTGCGTTTTTTCAATTTTTCGATTTCGATTTCTCGATTTCCCAGTTTTTCAACATTTCAGTTTTAGGATTTATGTATGTATTTAAATTTTTCGATTTTTCAATTTTTGGCGATTCTAAATTTTTGGGTTTTTCGATTTCTCTGTTTAAGTTTTGGGATTTTTCAATTTTGGGATTTTACAAGATTTCGATTTTTAAATTTTTTGATTTTTCGACTTTTCGTGTTTTTGATTTTTTATTTATTCCATTTTTCAAAATACTGCAACTTTATAAATCTTACATTTTTCGATTTTTCAGTTTTTTGATTTTTCGATTTGATTGCTCGATTTTTTAAATTTTCAATTTTTCGAATTTTTAATTTTAGATTTTTCACTTTTTTGTTGTTTACATTTCTCGATTTTTCGATTGTTTGCTTTCTCGTTTTTAGATTTTTCATTTTTCAATTTTTCGGAATTAATTTTTCAGCTTTTCGTTATTTCGATTTTTCAGTTTTCGATTTAACGGGTTTCTTTCGAGTTTTCGCCTGCTCGTTTTTAGATTTTCCGCTTTTTCAATTTCTCTGAATTAATTTTTCAGTTTTTCGATGTTTCAATGTTTCACTTTTCCGGTTTATCTTTTTTTAAGTTAAAATTTTTCATTTCTGAATTTTCCCATTTTTCGATTTCGCGATTTTTCAATTTTTCGATTTCGATTTCTTGATTTCTCAGTTTTTCGATAATTCATCTTTTCAATTTTTCGGTTTTCCAATTTTTGAACGTTTCAGTTTTGGATTTATGCATTTAAATTTCCCGATATCGATTTCTCAAATTTTCAGTGTTTAAGTTTTGGGGTTTTTCAATTTTGGGATTTTTCAATAGTATTTCGATTTTTAAATTTTTAAACTTTTCAAAATTTTGCGACTTTTTAAATCTTACATTTTTAGATTTTTCAATTTTTTGATTTTTCGATTCGTTAATGTTTTGATTTCTCGATCTTGTAAATTTTCAATTTTTCAGATTTTTAAATTTCAGGTTTTTCACATTTTTGTTGTGTTCGATTTCTCGGCCTTTCGATTTTTTGCCTTCTCATTTTTAGATGTTTCGATTTCTCAGTTTTTCGGAATTAATTTTTCAGCTTTTCGATATTTCGATTTTTCAGTTTTCGATTTAACGGTTTTCTTTCGATTTTTCGCCTTTTCGTTTTTAGATTTTCTGGTTTTTCAATTTTTCGGAATTAATTCTTCAGTTTTTCGATGTTTCAAGTTTTCACTTTTTCGGTTTATCTTTTTCTTCAGTTAAAATTTGTCAATTTTGAATTTTCCCATTTTGCGATTTTTAGCCACGTCAATTTTTCGAATTTTTAATTTTAGATTTTTCACTTTTTTGTTGTTTACATTTCTCAATCTTTCGATTTTTTGCTTTCTCGTTTTTAAATTTTTTATTTCTCAGTTTTTCGGAATTAATTTTTCAGATTTTCGATATTTCGATTTTTCAGTTTTCGATTTAACGGTTTTCTTTCGATTTTTCGTCTTTTCGTTTTTAGATTTTCTGGTTTTTCAATTTTTCGGAATTAATTTTTCAGTTTTTCGATTTTTCAAGTTTTCACTTTTTCGGTTTATCTTTTTCTTCAGTTAAAATTTGTCAATTTTGAATTTTCCCATTTTGCGATTTTTATCCACGTCAATTTTTCGAATTTTTAATTTTAGATTTTTCACTTTTTTGTTGTTTACATTTCTCAATCTTTCGATTTTTTGCCTTCTCGTTTTTAGATTTTCCAGTATTTCAATTTTTCGGAATTAATTTTTCAGTTTTTCGATGTTTCAAGTTTTCACTTTTTCGGTTTATCTTTTTCTTCAGTTAAAATTTTTCAATTTTAATTTTCACATTTTGCGATTTTTAGCCACGTCAATTTTTCGAATTTTTAATTTTAGATTTTTCACTTTTTTGTTGTTTACATTTCTCAATCTTTCGATTTTTTGCCTTCTCGTTTTTAGATTTTCCAGTATTTCAATTTTTCGGAATTAATTTTTCAGTTTTTCGATGTTTCAAGTTTTCACTTTTTCGGTTTATCTTTTTCTTCAGTTAAAATTTTTCAATTTTGAATTTTCACATTTTGCGATTTTTAGCCACGTCAATTTTTCGAATTTTTAATTTTAGATTTTTCACTTTTTTGTTGTTTACATTTCTCGATCTTTCGAGTTTTTGCCTTCTCGTTTTTAGATTTTTAATTTTTCAATTTTTCGGAATTAATTTTTCAGTTTTTCGATGTTTCGAGTTTTCACTTTTTCGGTTTATTTTTTTCTTAAGTTAAAATTTTTCAATTTTGAATTTTCCCATTTTTCGATTTTTAGCCACGTCAACTTTTTTAATTTTTAATTTTAGATTTTTCACTTTTTTGTTGTTTACGTTTCTCGATCTTTCGATTTTTTGCCTTCTCGTTTTTAGATTTTTCATTTTTCCTATTTCGAAATTAATTTTTCAGTTTTTCGATATTTCGATTTTTCAGTTTTCGATTTAACGGTTTTCTTTCGATTTTCCGCCTTCTCGTTTTTAGATTTTCCGGTATTTCAATTTTTCGGAATTAATTTTTCAGTTTTTTACCATTTTTCGATTTCGCGATTTTTTAATTTTTCGATTTCGATATCTTGATTTCTCAGTTTTTCTATAATTCATCTTTTCAAATTTTTGGTTTTCCAATTTTTCAACGTTTCAGTTTTGGATTTATGCATTTAAATTTTCCGATCTCGATTTCTCAAATTTTCAGTGTCTATGTTTTGGGATTTTTCAATTCTGGGATTTTTCAATATGTATTTCGATTTTTAAATTTTTAGGTTTTTCAAAATTTTGCGACTTTTTAAATCTTACATTTTCCGATTTTTCAATTTTTTGATTTTTCGGTTCGTTAATGTTTTGATTTCTCGATATTGTAAATTTTCAATTTTTCAGACTTTTTAATGTTAGATTTTTCACTTTTTTGTTGTTTTTCAAATTCTCGATCTCTTTCGATTTTTCGCCTTCTCATTTTTCGATTTTTCGATTTTTCAATTTTTTGGAATTAATTTTTCAGTTTTTTTCGAGTTTCCCTTTTTTAGACTTTTAGCTATTTCGATATCTCAATTTTGCGATTTTTCGACCTCTAGACGTATGGATCTTTCGATCGATTTTGCGTTTTTTCAATTTTTCGATTTCGATTTCTCGATTTCGCAGTTTTTCGATTATTCGTCTTTTCAATTATTCGAGTTTTCAATTTTTCGGTATTTCAGTTTAAGGATTTATGTATGTATTTAAATTTTTCAACTTTTCAATTTTTCAATTTTTGGCGATTGTAAATTTTTGGATTTTTCAATTTCTCTGTTTAAGTTTTGGGATTTTTCAAGATTTCGATTTTTAAATTTTTTGATTTTTCGATTTTGTTTTTTTGATTAGTTAGTTGTTAATACTGTGTAATCAATAGCTGCAATTAATTAAGGAAACTTTAGTCCTTAACCATTTTATTCTAAATTTTAAAATCACTATAACTCCACCAAAATGTGAGAAGGAATTTGTTTATTATTTTTCCCAAATTCACCAGTTGATTGTTAAGAGCGTGGTGGAGAGTTAATTCGCCATTTTGCAGACAACCGTTATATTAAAATGTGTGAAAATGTAAATGTATTAAAACTTCTAAAACTTTTGAAAATTGTTGAAAACACACTGAAAACTGTAACAACAATTTGTGGAATGAATAATATTATTTTATACCCAGTAAAAGCTCCGCAATTAATTCCGTATGCACATTTAATAACCTTTTCATCCTTTAATTCCCCACTGTTTATATCATAACATTTATGTTTGTATAAAAAAAAATGCATTCGTTGTGCACAACCAATTTAAAACAGCAAACAATTACACTTAGGTACGGTTTCATTAAAATTGTTACTGTCTAGTCTTTTTGTTTTTACAGTTTATGAAATTCATATTTCTTCGCCTTTTCCTCCTATTATAACTTTATAAGTCAAAAACTATATTTTTATAGGCGTAATTTCGACTTCAGACACATTAGAAAATCACATTTTTTGAAATGTTTCCAAAAAGCGAAAAATTCAGTTTTGACGTGTACTCAGTATCATGAAATTGGATAGTCATACCCAAAAACAACAACGTAAAAAAAACTATTCTTTGACACAGTACTCACACTTAAAAAACGGTTTCCAATCCTGATTAGACAACCTATTAGCATAGTCAATGTACCCCGACACTTCAAACCCCTTCTTCGTCTGGTACCTCAAGAAGATAATCGTCTGAAAACACCCATTACTCCCACGCTCTAAATCATTACTCGTCCCAGACCGACAGAATCCCGACTCTGTTCGGTCGCTCCCTAATCGCCAGCTCCTTCTGGATGGGATCTCCTCCTGCGATTCCCTCGCTGGCCAACTCGTACGGCTTGTAAGGCGGGTACAGGAAATTCATCACCGCCGCTAAGCGTTTCTCGAACTGTTGGCGGCTCAGCGTCTCTCCGGAACTCCTGCGACGGGAAATCCCTGTGATTCCAGGATTTACAAGCTATTTCCGCCTACCTGTAACCTAGTTCGGCGATAGTTCGTGCCGCGACTGTGTCCTGAAGATAACAGCGATCATGTTCGGTTATTAACGAGTCCAGATAGTCCTCGTACGTTTCGAACTGGAGAAGGCGGCGGTCGGCTTCGATCTGGGGGGTTGAAGTGGCGGTGATATGGGCCATTTTGGGGAAACGGGGGACTGCGACGGCAAGAAGGGGTTAAAGGGTCATGTTGACGTGTGGCGGTTTCTAGGAGAGAATTTTGACAACCTGCATAAATAGAGCAACTGATTTTTTGGGAACGTCAATGAACGTTTCGTCATTATATAAAAAAAAAAAAACTATAGAACGTATAGAGAAATTTGAAAAAATTTCAAAATCAAAGCCGATTTTTCTAACATTTTTCTCCTCTTTCTAGAACACTGTCTGCACGAAAGAAGTATGCCTGGGCAGCTTGATGGCCCAAGCGGGCGTGCACGAGGTGAGGACGACCCAGGAGGTCCTACGTCAAGCCAAGGACTTCCTAGACCAGTATTTCACTTCGATAAGACGGTAAGCGTAACGGTTATGATTCAATTTCCACCAATATTTTCGTTGCGTGCATAAAGATAAAGGGTTTTACTGTTTCGAGCCAGGTTTTACGATCTTGCGGGATACAGAACGTCGATGTGAGTTTCGTTTAAAATTTTTACAACGCAAATTATCCACTTGCGCCGGATATACAATGGGTTTATGAGAGGCCGTGGAACCTTTTTAAGATGCATTCGGTTTGTTTTTGTTGCCATTGGAATAAAAGGATGGTTTTGATGGGGGTTTATTGCTGTGGCCCTACTTTGTTAACGCTGTGGAGTTCTTGCGTGGGGCGGCTTGAAAGGGTTTAGGTACGAGGTGCTGAATTATTTACTTACTATGGAAGTATTAAATGTGATTTCCTAATTGAAAGTGAAGTTAAACTCCTACGTTTACTTTATCTCATTTTCTAAATCTCGTTGGTATCCGTTTTCGAGTTTGCAAGGTGAAGAAGATTATGAACATGTTTCTGAATTTTTTATTGGAATAAAGTGTTGCTATGGGAGAGTACTTAATTAAATTTTGGGTGCAAACTTACTACCCTTGAAATTCATTTACAATTATTAGCAGAAATTCTGTTTTCGACTGTAGCATAAACAAATAAAAAATTGATGGAAGGTTATTCGACAGAACTTTCCTTGCACCTGCTTCTTTGACAAATTAAACAAATTGTTTGCTTTTTTTGTTTTCTGATAACCTCTATAAAGCTAAAACGAGTGGTATACACGATACTCCCGCAACTTTTTCGATTTGTAATTTTTTGAGTTTTTAAGCTTAATTTTTCAGGTTTTCAATTTTGCAACTTTTGAGTTTTTCAGTTTATAGATTCTGCAATTTTTCATTTCGGTTTTTATTTTCTTTATTTTTGCAACTTTTCGACTTTCCAATGTTCGGATTTTATAATTTTTTGTTTTATGAATTACAATTTTTTTCAGTTTTCCGTTTTTTCAATATTTCGATGTTCAATTTTTCAGCAGTTATTTTTTTTATTTCGCCAATTTTGCGACATGTAACTCTCGAGTTTTCATTTTAAATTTGTCTGTTTTTCAATATTCCAACTTTCGAATGTTTCAATTTTTAAATTTTACAATTTTTCGATCTGCAATTTCACGAATTTTCCGTATTTTTACATTGTTTATTTCTTCAATTTTTCGGTTTCAGTTTTTCGTTTCGACTTTTTATTTTCTTTATTCTTGCAATTTTTCCAATTTTTGATGTTCTGATTTTATATTTTTCTTTCTATAAAAGTGATGTTTTTTAATTTATGGATTTTTCAATTTGTCGGTTTCTACTTTTTCGGTTTTTAAAGTTTTAGATTTTTTAGTTTCTCGATTTTTCAATTTATCGTTTCTTCAAATTTTGTTTTGCAATTTTTCTAATTTTCATTTTTAAATATGTAATAATAATTTATTATAACTTAAAATATTTTTCACTTTTTCATTTTGACGATTTTAGAATTGTTCCATTTTTCGATTATTGGATTTTGTAACTTTTTCATTCCAATTTTTCGATTTTTAATTTTTCAGTTTTTAGTTTTCGTATTTCTTGGTATTCAATTTTTCAATTTTTCGAACATTCACATTTTGACGATTCTATAAACTTTAGATTTAACTATTTTTGAGTTTTCTAATTTTTCGATTCGATTTGTTTTTTCTTCATTCCAATTTTTCGATTCTTTTTTTTTCGAATTTTAAGTTTTTAAATGTTTCAATTTTTCGTTTCTTCAATTTTTTCGATTTGTAGTTTTTTATTTTTCATTTTATTTTTGTTTCTTCAATTTTACGATATGTAGGTAACTCTCAAGTTTTCATTTTAAAATTTTTCTGTTTTTCGATTTTCCAACATTTGGATATTTCAATTTTTGGATCTGCAATTTCAGGAGTTTTAAATTTTTAATTTTTCGAATTTTCGGCTTTTCATTTCTTCAATTTTTCGGTAGCAATTTTTGAAATCGATTTTTTATTTTCTTTATTCAATTTTTCGGTTTTCCAATCCTCTAATTTAGAATTTTTCTTTTTTTAAAAGTGATTTTTTTTAATTGTGGATCTTTCAGTTTTTGAGTTTTTCAATATTAAAATTTTCCAGTTTCTCGATTTTACAATTTATCGTTTCTTCATATTTTTTCTTTTGCAATTGCCTAATTTTCATTTTAAATAAATAAATACGTAATAATAATTACTCCATAATTTAAATCTATTTCACTTTTCCGATTATTGGATTTTACAACTTTTTTATTTATGATGTCTTTCAATTTTTTGATTTTTAATTTTTCACTTTTTAATTTTCGAACTTTCTGGTAGTTAATTTTTCAGTTTTTCGAAAATTAAATGTTACAGTTATTCGACTTTACAATTTTGACGGTTCTATAAATTTTCGATTTTACAATTTTCGACTTTTCCAATTTTTCGATTCATTAATTTTCTCAAATTTTAAGTTTCTCGATCTTTAGTTTTTCAATGTTTCAATTTTTCGTTTCTTCAATTCTTCTACTCGCAATTTTTCGATTTTCCAATTTTTTATTTTACAATCTCTGGTTTTTTCAATTTTTCGTCTTTTCACTTTTTTGATTTGCAGTTTGTTTTTCAATTTTTAATTTTTTTCTTTCTTCAATTTTACGATACGTAGGTTTTTCGATTTTCTTTCTTTTCGATGTTTCAGTTGTTAGATTTTGCTTTTTTTGATTTGCAATTTCACTATATTTAAATGTTTAATTTTTCAATTTTTCATTTCGTCAGTTTTTCGGTTTTTCAGTGTTTTCATATAATAATTTTTCTTTTTCTCAATGTGAAATTTTCCAATTTTTCGGATTTCAGTTTTTTGGTTTTGCAACTTTTAAATTTTTTAGTTCCTGGATTTTTTAATTTTTCGTTTCTTCAAGTTTTGTTTCGCAACTTTTCTAGTTTCCATTGCAAATCTATAATAAAAATAATAATTTAAAAAAAAATCACTTTTTCAATCATACGATTTTATAATTTTTTCATTTGTCGATTACTGGATTTTAAAACTTTTTCATTTAGTTGATTTTCCAATTCTCCGACTATTAATTTTTGAATTTCTCGATATTTAATTTTTCAATTTTTCGGTCTTTCAAGGTTTCAGTTTTTCGGCTTTAAAATTCTCACAATTCTATAATTTTTGGGTTTTCCAATTTTTCGATTCGATTCGTTTTTTCTTCATTCCAAATTTTCATTTTATTTTTTTTTTCGATTTTTAAGTTTCTCGATTTTTAGTTTTTCAATGTTTCAATCTTTTATTTTTTAAGTTCTGTTACAATTTTTTGTTTTTTTAATTATTCGAAACAAAACATTGGAAAAATTGGGAAACTGCTAAATTGCAAAATCAAAAACGAAAAATTGAAAAAGTATAAAATGAAAACTTTGAAAAATCTAAAAATTGGAAATCAAGAAATTGAAAAATGGAAGAAACGGAACGAAAGATTAAAAATTGAGAAACTTACAAAACTAAAAACTCCAAAATCGAAAAAACGAAATATCGTAAAATCGAAATATTGAAATATGGGAAAATCGGATATTTGAGAAATCCAAACATTTTGCAAAATTTAAAAATTGGAAATTTTTAAAATTGCAGAGAGCCAAAAATTATGACAGCAAATGAAACATTGAAAAAAAAAGAAATAAAAAAACGAAAAATTGTGTTATAAAATCGAGAAAATGAAAATTAAAAAATCGTGAAAAATAAAAATCAAGAAGTTGAAAAATTGAGGAAACGAAAAATTGAAAAGTGCAAAAACTGAAAAATCGAAAAATGAAAAATTGTAACATCAAAAAATTGCAAAACTGAAGAATTGCAAATTTGAACAATTGTAAATCGAAAAATTGAAGAAACGAAAAATTATGATATCAAAAAATTCTGAAATCGAAGAAAAGGAAAAAATTGTGTTATTAAAAAATTGGCCGAAAGTAAATAAATCCAGATATTTCGAAAAATTATGGAATTAATTTGCGAATAAGGATATGGATGTAATATTGATGTAAATATAACGTCAATTGAAATATCGCAATTTTTACAGTTCCAATAGCAAATAGTATTACAAAAAATTTACGATTAGCGCTTTTTTCTACTTTTTTCACGTCTTAGATTCTATTAGTTTCCACTCCCACTTCATATGAGAACATAATTAGCCCCGCCCACCCACCCTGCCTTCATTTCAGTGATTAATTTTATCCGGTCTGAATGAAATGAATAATCTTATAATGAGCAGGAATAAAATTATTGTTTAGAATGACAAGACTGAACGTGGGCGGGGCTAGTACTTGATACGATAAAACTGATTTTGGTAAAACACATATCCTCGAAGAAAATAGAGGGCGGGTGGGCGGGGCTAGTACCTAATAAGATAAGACTGTTTTTGGCAAATGACATATCTTCCAAGAAAGTAAGGGCGGGTGGGCGGGGTTCGCCTTTTATAAGATATGACTGATTTTGACACTTTTTACATCTTCGAATATTTTTCAACAATTTCGAAAATTATCAACTAGACATTTCATTGAAAAATTCAACATCTAGAAATTGTTTCTTCGCAAATTTCTATCGTTCTTCCAAAAACGTCAATTGAAATATAGCAAATTTTATAGGTCCAATAGCATAAGAAAAAAAATACGATTAGCGCTTTTCTTTTACTTTTTTCACATCCTAGATTCTATTAGTTTCCACTCCCACTTCATAGGAGAACATAATTAGTAATTCGCAAATGACATACCCTCTAGGAAAATGAAGGGTAGAGGGTATATCATTTGGCAAAATCAGTTTTATCTTGGCAAGTATTGGCCCCGCCCACCCACCCTTTATTTTTCTTGAAGATATGGCAAACGAGTTTCTCCTTTATAAAATTTTGTAATGACGTCATCAAAATTTTTACAAGGACTCTTATCAATTTCGATATATGTAATGTAATACCAAGGATAATAGTACTGTATTCCCAAATTTTCGGGAAAATGGAGTGAGTCGTTCTTGATTTTAAT